AACATCTCTCTCACTCGTCTCTCTCACATGTCCTAATATCCATTAAATTTTTGACAAACTTTCTTCACAAATATTCAAAATGGAACCCACAAACTCATGTAGTGAACTCGTCTTCTTTGAAGGGTTACCTTTGTTGCATCAAATCTTATGAGATGACTACTTTACATGTTCGTCTTCATAATAGTTTATGTTTCAAAATCCGTTTAGAAGTTAACTTAATATGAGTGAATGTATAACCTAAAAAGTGAACTATGTTTTTTATGTACCATTGTTTACGTTTCAATAGCTTGTTTCGTAATGTTTGTAGGAAAATATGACGCGTATAACTTAAGATGGGTGAAATTTTTGTTGGTTTTGACTTGTGGGTAAGGAAGGTGATTGAAAAAAATAAATAAGGATGAAGCTAAAGTGAGCGCTTCAAACTTGTGTGAAAGATCCAGAATGACATCCATTCAAATTTAACACAAGTTTACAGCTCTCGCTTCAGCTTCACCCTCCTTTCATTGTGGATGTCATTCTAGAAAGATACGTTTCTGAAATATTTTATGAGTTGACATGTTATTGTTGTTAGTAATAAAAGTTGTATTTTGTATATAGTTTATGCTATGTTGTTGATAATTTTGTTGTTGTTAATAAGAGTTGTTTGTTTTATCTTGTATGTTGTTTAAGGTTTGTTGTTGATGAATGTTGTTGTTACGGTTTGTTTAGAAGATGAGTTTATTATATCTTATGTGGTTTTAGTATTTTTCAAACCCCTTATCAAATATATAACTTTACGGATTACATTAGAAAATTATAATATGATATATAAAGTTATATTAGAAAACAAGTTACATCGTTCAATGCTAGACAATAATTCTTCAGCTCATTAGTTGCATTTTTCTCTTTAATGGAGATCATTTGTTTGTAACACGTAGTTTTTTCGGTAGGTTGTGGCATATTATTCTTAATTGGTTAGAGTTCTCTACAGCATCCCAAAGAACGGTTTGAGATCATCTATTGGAGTTTGGTGGGTTTGGTGGTTTTTCGAAAAATGTTCGGTTGGCTTATAATACTATTTGATTCACGATAGTTTGTGTTATTTGGAAAGAGTTAAATAGGTGTATTTTTCAAACTAAAATAGAGCAATTGTAGAGTTTCAGTCGTTTTGATACTTAAAGTTGAAATATGTTTCTTTCATTTTAAATTGTAATTTTGAATTTTTTTATGTAGAAACTATGTCGAAATATGTTTATCTATGTAGATTTTTTAAAAAAATTTTAAATTGTAATTTTGATTTTTTTTTCTTTTTATTTTTTATACATTTTATGCTGGATTGATTTGTTTTAGTCATTAATATAGATTTATTTTGGCTTTTGAAAGAAGAAAAAAATACTTTGAAATATACAATAAATGAAACGGAAAAAGAGTAATGCATTGATCACACAATCAAGGATGACATGCAATGATATCACCAGATATTAATAGTAGTCATATATTTTTAAGTATCCATGTTGATGTAAAAGAAAAATATTTATTTTTATAATTTCGTGAGTTTATTCCTCCGCTTTTGAAATCACTTTGACTTTGAGAGCAACAAAGTATTGACACATAAAAATATAAATAAATTAAACTATTACTTTATGATAAAAATTAAAAACATTTAAGTTAGAATTTAAGTTAATATTTTTATTTCAATAGTATATTATACGTTAAATTTTAGTTTTACTTTTTTAAACAAAATCAGTTTTTATATTTTAAGGGAGAGATTCTAACAATATTAAATATGAGTGAGTATGTGGTGTATTTTTCACAAAATTGTTGCTCTAAAAAAGAAAAATCTCACAATGTTCAATGTTCTCTAGTTGAAAAATCTTCCTCTCACAGTAATATTAGAGTCTGATTCGAGTGAGGGACCGACTTAATAGGTTGAGTGTCTCGTTGAAGAGTATCAACGGCGATACAAGGGTGGAGTTGCCCGGTTGAAGTTTCCGTTTAAGGGAGAGTATTGTAGAAGCATTGTGGATAGACTCACACTTGAGATGGAGTGTTAAGTTAAGTGTTAACAAAGTGCGAATAATAGTCTCACATTGGATATGAATGCGGTGACTTAAACATGAGAGAACTCATATACTTATCACCTTAAGGTTTTTGGTGAGTATGTGATGTGTCTCTCACAAGTGTTGCTCTAAAAAGAAAAAGTCTCACAATCTTCAATGCTCCATAGTTTAAAATATTTTCCCTATCAAAATCATTTTAATTTTTTTATTTTAAATTCAAATAGTTTTAATTATTTTTCCACGTTTTTTTATAAAAGATCAATGAGATATTCGTTTTTTAACTTATATTTTTATCTATAAAATTTAACAATATATTTATATACACAAAAAAAAATTTATGTTTCACAAATAATTTTTTATTTAAAAATATTGATATCATTATTTTTAAGTGTAAAAATATAAGAAAAAATTAAAATTGTTTAAATTTAAAATAAAATAATTAAATTTATAAATTAGATAAAATTGAGAGATCAAAATTATAATTAAATTTATATTATATAATAATTTTATTAATGTATTAATAATGTATATAAATATTATTCTTTTTGTAAAAATCATTACTTCTATTTCTATCAACGACAATTAAATATTAATCTATTTTATTTGTAAATATTTGTTAAATTATTGTCTCGTGTCTGGTTATTGTAATGAAGTTGGTCGTAGGTGGATTTTGTCTATTTTCTTTTATAAATGTTAGTTTTCTCTGCTATTATTTATTTTGAAATTTTAATTTCTATTTTTGCTTTTGATGGATATTATATTTTCCGTTTGTATATATCAAATACATTAAATTTTTTGATAAAAATATTGTGTTCAACTCACTTATGTGGTTGTATTTGACTTAATATGCTAATCCAACCTAAAATATAATATTTGTTATAATTAACAATAAAATAGTAATTAATAAACAATAATAAATAAAATCATATTAAAGCTATTTATATATTTTACTAATAAGACGGATGTGGCAACATATCAACACCCTCACCTTTTTTATCTTAAAATAAATATATAATTACACTAACCAAACAATTTTAAATTTGGTCTTATTTTATTAAAAAGGATTGTATCCTTGAATATGTGCATATACCAATTTTCTTGTCATTTTTGCACGCAATAGAAAAATATGACAGCAATCCTTTGTGTTAATTACAAATTAAAGAGTTTCTGATTAGCTGTCACCTACCTATATATTTGATTAACTAATTAACTAATTAATTAATTAATTAATTAATAGGATAAACATCACCAACAACTTCCTCTTTGATGTCAATCACTGTCAATATATATGTAGCCTTTGTTCATAGCTACAATCGAGCCTCCACCTCAGTTACATTACAGTTACTCCAAGGTGTTATATTTTCAATTAAGAAAATACTAATAAAAAATATTATTATATTAATGAAAGCTATAACTAGAGTGTATCTTGTACATTATTACATTTAATTAACGCCGAACCATAACATTTTTCCGTACACTACCGAAAAAACAGAGTAATTACTTTCAAAAATTTAATTGTGCTAGTACTATTGTAATGGTAATCTACAGTATTAATTTGTATATTTTCCATGCAACCTTAAGCATGAAAGAATATGGCTTAATTGTAATGCTTTATGTATAAATTATAATAATTTTCTGAAAAAAAAAAAAAGTTCCTTGTACAGGAATATACGTCCTAATTAAGAAACCACATGGCCCATCCATGTGCATTTCCATGTGATATTGTGCATACAAACTCAATCGACACCTTAAGCAATGTAGGAATCCCATAAAAGATAGTAACCAATAGAACATTGTACACCAAATCTTTAAAGAATATTATAACATGCTCAATGCCAGACCCTTAACTAATTAAAGTGTTTCTACATGTTTTATTTTGCTATAATTTAACCTTAAAAAATTTGAAGTTTTACGCTATGATCTCAATTTGCTAAACAGGAAATGTGAAACTCATCCAAAAATGAAGTTTGAGGACAATAAATTCAGAGCCATTGAATCAAACTTCAGATATTGGTCCTATTTTTATGTACCTTTCCACCCTACAAACAACCACCTCTGTATTTCAAGTACTATTTATTAAAAAAATATATTTGAAGTACTATATATTAAGTCCTTTTGAACAACCTGGCTTATTTCTTTAACAGTTGCTTATTATTTTTTGAGTAATAGTAGATGTAAATGTACTGTGTTTTGTTAGTAGGAAGTAGGAAGTAGGAAGGGTTTCTGAAAATAAATTTAAATTACTTGGAAATTAAATTAGTTAAAGGAGAAAAGAATCATTAAATCAGTGTCATTTCCAAACCAAACTAATTTTATATTCCTCCTCATTTCATCCGCAAATAATATAACTCTCATGCATAGAAACCATTGAACAAAATACTAAAATTAGTGGGAGCATCAAGATCAAGATGCTTTGCCTCGATACTACTAATAAACTTTACAATATACACCTTTCATTCATTTTTAATAAATTAGTATTATTAAATAACGGAAATAACAAGAATGTATATTTATTTCCCTGCATGGACCCCCTAAGCTCTAATAATTAAACAAAAAAGTCGCAAGGAAACACCGTCTATCACATGGTAGTAGACAATTTTAATTAAAGTTAATGCATGATTAAGAGATATATTTAGAAAAACAGAGAATGGCAGATACATGATCTAGCTCATGAATTAAAAAAAATTATTTAATTTAGAGCAACAAAAAACACTAATAATATCGAAATTAAGATTACACTTACAAATTACAGACAGAACTTTCATTGTTTTTACTTTTTTTTTTACTCTTTATTTCTCCCTGCCTCGCTCTCTCGCTTACTCACTGAGTCACTTTTCAGTCATCAACATCAAAGTTTAAGTTTCAACCAATCTGCCACCCTAATTGGTCATGTTTTCATAATTAATATTTCCATTCAATCCAATTAACTTCAACTCGCTCTTAATACGTTCTCGAGTCAACTCACTTGGACTCACTCTGTGGGAGCTTCCACGCGGAGGTAGCAATGAGTGACCTCGTGTGCCACCCAAGCATAAGACACCCGTTATTCTCCTCCACCCTATACCCATCCCCGCCGGCGAACAAAGCCAACAAAGTACTCGCTTGCTTAAACGCGTTTGAACCTAAATGAACCGGGTCGAACCCAGCTGAACCCATCCTCGACCTCCACTGAGTCAGTGTCTCGTGTCTCTCGACCCGGTCCACACCTTCATAAGCCACCACGTTGCATATCTGTCTCCCCAAGTAAAGCTCCGACATCAACAGATCCTGACTCGAAGAACCAGACCCGGTTGGGTTTGAATTAGAAGAACCCTCAAGCGAATCAAATAAACTCGAGTAATAATGCAAGGCTTCCGTGAACCGGTCCATGAAAACCGGTCCGTTGTGATTCGCTTCCTGTTCCACGATTGTCACAATCTTAGGGTTAATCTTCTTAACAGTGTTGAGAACCTTATCAATGGAACCGGGTCGGGCTAACATGGTATGAAGTTCGAAAATGGAGTTAACAGCAACAGCTTCACCGGGTCGGATCTCAAGCATGTTCGGGTCAAGATCCGCGAGACTATTACAAACGAATCCACGAAATTCGAACTGAACACCAATGGTCTGAGCGAGCTGAGCCAATTTCCAACCCACCTGCTGCAAAGCATCGGTGTTACCCGTCTGCGGTGGTCCTATTCCAGTTAACCGGAAAGTTGGTGGACCACCAGGACGTAATGCAAGTGCTTGCATAAGCGCCGGCCACTGCGTCCCTTGTTTGAGACCAAAATCAATGACGTGAACACTTCCAGCTCCGGCGAAAGCTTCCAGAATAGCCTGATTAGCGGTGAAGTGAGCGAATTTGAGATAAGGAGAAGACTCGTAAAAGTGCATGTGAAGAGCATCAGATAAAGATGAATCCAGAGTTTCATCAGGGGAAACTCTGTAGATTCTCCGATACAGAGCTTGTGCGAAATACGAAGCAACTTTTCCCATCGCTCCGGTTTGCGACGAAGCCAATATTCCAATACTCTTCACCAGTGTATCAGCAATCTTGAGATCATCACGCTGAATCGCATCAGCGCAAGCCATCATAGTGTGAATAAGACGAACCCCTGTTTCCTGCGAGTCAACGAGAACCACCGGTCTTGTAGTCTCCGCCGGCGGTGATAACGCCGGCAGAAAAATATCTTCCGACTCCGTTTCACTCCCCCATGTCTTCAACCTTTTGTTGCTGTTAGAATCTTCGCTTTCATTGTTCTGGTTATGGCTCTGAGGTGGGTACGCCGCCATTCCAGGAATAACACTGAGATCATACTGAGAGTTATCGTTGAAGATGGAAGAAGAAGCATCTAAAGGGTCACTGATTTGTGAATCGGTGGATGGGTTAAGTTCAGTGAGCATAGTTTGAACCCATGAATATAGATCGGTAGGGTCGTAGTGAACTGTATCTGAAGCAAGATGGTTAATTCCTTCTTCTTGAGCACTACCCATCACCATCTCAAGTTGTTCAAGCTTTTGAGCTACGTCAAGCATGTCTGAGGAACGAACCTTGTAACCTAATGCCGCTAGTAACTCGTCCATTCCACCGCTGTTTTCTTTTTCTTCCCTCCACAAACTTTGTTTCCCGTTTGTGCTGTTGTTGTTGTTGTTGTTCTGCATTGATGAACATTCACCTCGTACACTAACAAAGCTGTTAGTATTGTTGTTGCTGCTATTCACACCTCCACCAGAGGTTTCTTGACGATCTCTCTTCATCTTGTTGGAGAAATTTGTGAAGTGAGTAGATTAGAAAATTAGAAGATTAGAAAATTAGAAGATTAGAATATTAGAAGATTAGAATTTAGGAATTGAATTGGGTGATATCATGGAAGTGAAATGGGTTGAATTTCAGAAATGGAAAAAAGGGTTTGAGAGAGGAGAAAGGGGAAACGGAGACAGAAGAGAGTGAAAATGAAAAAGATAAGGAAGAACGGAAGCCATAATAATAATGATAATGGAATTTTTTCGACTTTTTTCGAATTTTGGTATATAATATTTTGCTAAAATAAAAAAGTTTTTGGTAATTTTGGGAGAGGAATTAATTAAATAATTATAAAAGAATTTACATTTGGGTGATGAAAGAATGAAGAAAGAAAGGGTTTAGGGTTGGTTGAAATAAATAGTTAATAGTAAAAGGGAGAGAGAGAGAGGGAGGGGTAGTATCGTAATTGCGAAGAAAGATGCCCATGATAGTGTACAGCTCGTGCATAGCACAGAAACCATACACTAGAAATATCAGGTAGCCGTACACTTCATCAATTGAGGGTCTTGGGGACCGAGAATGATCGTGGGCTCCATCTCTGTCCAATCTCTTTCACGCTCCTTCTCTAAGCGCGTGTTGTATATTTTCTATCACTCTTTCTTGCTCACACTTTTTTCATTTGGGCTTGTGGTTCACAGTTGAGATTAGTACTTTTGTACCAGTAATATCAGAATTATTTTTTAGTATTAAATTTTGTGTCAATTGTTTTTTTTTGTTAATATTTTTTAAGGAAATCAAATTTAACTAATTTTGTTAGATATAAGTAGGGTTTATTTTTTTTTATTTGAATTGATTTTGAAGTAAAATTTATTCGATCTAAAAATAAATTTATTTATAATTTGTTTAATTTTTGTTTTATTAAATAAAAAAATTCAATCTAATATGATTTAAACATTCATTGAATTGTGTTCATTAGGCTTATAACATCAAATAAGTTATTCAGATTTTTAATTAATAGATAATGAATAGATGAGTTGAATCCTATATGGAGAAAAATTATTTAACATGAAAACTATTTTCTAACTTTATGATCTATATTGATGTGGTTAGAATTGTTAAAATGGGTTTGTTTTATTGGACTGATTTACGAGTCCTATATTTTAACGTCGGTCAAGTTGCAAGGAAATTTTAAAAAATATGATCTTATCTTTTTGCCCTAATCCATCGAACTTATGTTTTTTATGAGTTTGCCCAGGTCAATTTAACGAGCTTCGAGCCAGCTCATTAAAAATAATTTTAATTAATTTTAAGAGAAAAAGAAGATGGTTGTCACAACCAAATTCGTGTTCCAGAGTCGATTATGCAAAGAGAAGGTATTATCATCCCTCACATCTGTTGTACTTGATGGAAATCTTTTAATTAAATTTTTGATAGAATATTAGCTTACGTTAATTATTTTCTTCGAGTGATCTAAAGTGTAAAAGGAAAAGAAAATGGGTCACGAAAAGGTTTTTTATATTAGGATGTTTGATGAGATTGTGGGTCTCGCTCTTACGTATCCTTGGGTACAATGAGGAACTCAAAGTTTCGTAGTTCGGGGTAGAAAAAATACATTTTGTTGGTTTGTGTTATTGAAAAAGTGTTTATGTGGTGTTCTAATGGTTAAACATTGACTTGTTTGCTTGCGGTGGAGGCTTAAGTGTTAGTTTGTATTCGCATTAGAATAGACCAAATAATGTTCTTTTGTAAAAATAGTTGTAGATCGCACAAGGCGCGAGAAATTAAGTTTGATGTGTTTGCGTATGTTTTAGGGTTTGGAAGAGAAGTACTCGTAACTTACAAGCGATTACCACTTGGTCCTGATACTCTGCACTATGACTGGACCTTTCACTCAGGTAGTCTTTTTCTTTCAATTTATTTACGAAAAGGTTTGAATATTTATAAGTATTTTAAATGAAAGACAAACACTTGAGGTTGCAAGCTATTACAACTTAGGCTTAATGTTTGGAACTATGACTGGACCTTTCACTCAAGTAGTATTTTTCTTTCGATTTATTACGAAAAGATATGTGTTTGGATTTTTGGTGAAAGACGAGTATTTATGACTTACAAGCGATTACCACTTGGGCCTAATACTCTGGGCTATAACTGGACCTTCTCACCCAAGGAGCCTTTTTCTTCCAATTTGTTTGAAATGGTCAAAGTATGAATTAGTTGTTTTGAATTTGATTATGCAAAGACCTTGATGTTGGGTCAAGCGTTTGATTTGCGTTGCAATGCAATTGTAAAAATGGTTTGAGGCGGATCGAATTTTGAAAACTCATTTGGCGTTGGACCAAAGGTTTTAAAAGGCCCACTTGACAATGGACTGATGATTTTTACATTTAAAGAACATTTAAAAATATTAATATCATCGTTTAATTAATTTGATAAGTAGATAAAACAATATGATAAAACAAAAATAATTCTAAATGAGCATTATGGAATACATGAGCAAGGGACATGTGATGAAGCAAGTTATATTAATAAATTAATATTTATTTAAATTAATTAATTAAGTTTATTAGAATTAACTATGTTAATTAATTAATTGAGAGAAATATCCAAATTATTAATTAATACTAAATAAATATATTAATCTAAATAATTAATTAAAATAAATTTTAATTAATCAATTGTAATAATAATAAAAAATGATAGAGAAATTATAAAAGATAAGAAAAAACAAAAAAGTTTAAAAAAAAAACAAAGATGAGTCGTAAAAGAATGGGCTCAAAGAGAGAGCTCAATTGTAACCCAACAGACTGAGGTGCAAGCTACAAGGGGAGTATAAAACATTGAAAGGGCGTTGGCCATAGAGTGCAAAACGGGTTGGGCCCAAAAGAAGTGGGGTCAAACCCTAAACCGAAATGCAAATGAGAAGGAAACCTTAGACAACTTGTGTCAGCCACCCCGACCCTCTCTTACTCATTCAACTTTCTATTTCCAAGGATATTAATTCCACTGATCTTTAATGTCCTCATTCAGTGTAGACATTTGGCATTGATTGTCGTTAAAAATAAATAAAAAACAAATCACATTATTCCTTCGGAAAACTGCAGACGAAAACATCTTTTCCACTCTCTCTCTCTCTCTCTCTCTCTCTCTCTCTCTCTCTCTCTCTCTCTCTCTCTCTCTCTCTCTCTCTCTCTCTCTCTCTCTCTCTCTCTCTCTCTCTCATGACATATGACATTTAATAGCAACATAAAAAGGAATCCAATGCACATTGAAGATTGATAATAAAATGAACAGACAAAAGGGAAACCTTTCATAATAAAATCCTCCCTCTCTCCTTATGATCTCTTTCTCTCTGCATTTGCATTCACCTTCTTCCCTCATCGTCGGCGGCCCACCGTGACCGCCGCCTCCTCCTTTAGTGATACCTACCTCAAATAAAAATATTCCAAGGCCAACCCAACTTGAAATTTCATGTAGATTTCAAATTTGGCCTTAGATTCTTGAAAAACCTAACCACCACTATGGATCGGAGGTTCAAAACTTGTGAAACCTTAATTCAAAAGCCCACTAAACTAACCTAAACATGCACGATTTTTGTAACACTCTAAACCCTGAAACTTGTAAATAAAGAATTACACGAAAATTTAAGATGTCACTAACGACAATCCTCTAACAACACATAGACATTTAGAAAACACGCGGCAAAAAATTAAACAACATACAACACTTGTCATCACATGTTCACCTTCACTTAGGGTACTATCACAGCAGAATCATATTAATCACATTAATAAAACATTTAACTTTAATTTTCTTTATAAAGACTCATCTTTCACAAAGTAACTCAAAAAAGGAAATTCAATATCCAAATCTCAACAACTTTAAAAACATCTCCACATGGCAGTTGTTAAGCTTTGGCAAAATAAGCACATCAACATCAAACATAATAAACAAAAACATTGTTTCCTCTCAGTGTTATAGAATCAAAGTATGACGACTAATAATAAAAGCGATAACAAATGGAAATAACTTCAAAATATATCTTTCACTCACAACAACAACTTTTAGTTCTGATTATCTACAAGAAGTCCATGGTGGACAACATTAAAGCAAAAGGGGTGAGAATTCACTTCAATAAATAAACGAAATAAGTTGCAAGGTAGAATTCAAACATCTACACATTCAACCATAATCACACAACAACATGCTTACACCAAAACCCATCAGCATACGCAATGCAATCACATATTCGTCATTTAAATTATGCAATGAGACTCACAACTTCAACTCGACTCATATGCATGGGGTACCATATCATCATCAATTGGTTCACTCATGCACAAGCTTCACCCAGCTCGAACCCCAAATTCACCCTGCTCGGATTCGGAACAGGTCACTGATTGGAAAAATAGCAAGTGTACTATTTTGCCTATGTAGTAATAAGAGATAATGTCCCAAATGTCGATCTCAAAGACTACTTGAGGATATAGAGTTTTGAGTTCAATTTAACTAAATAAAAGTTTGGGGGTTTTAGATTGTTTGGTGAAGTTATAAAACAATTGCACATAAAATAAAGAAAGTAATTGAGTGGTTTAGAAAATATATGGTGAATTATGCTAGAGATGGTGTATAACTGACTCAGTAACAACTCTGAATTAACACTGCAATAACTTATTTTAACTAATTAATTACCGATTATTTAGAATGTTTACCCCTAAGTCCTTAGTGAGAAAAATTTTAATCGTTCACCTTAATTCCTATGTCCATAGAGAATTACAGATGAAATTAAGCAATCAATTATCAAGAATATCCCGGTTTCTATAGGGTATCCCTAGTCCTGGGTGATATCTACTATAGAATAATTCAAAGAAAAGCATTAACAATGGCGGTCCAGCCTAATCGTTAATCGAAAATCAAACCTTGTTTGTCCGATAGGGCAAGCATTAAGACTATCTAGAGATCAAATCAATTATGAAAAACAAAGAAATTGTTATTGCAATACTAATATCAAAGTCAT